TTTCCAAGGAGCGGCCTAGTGGATTCAAACTGCTGACCTTTTGGTTAGCAGACGTAGCTCTTAACCACTACGCCACCAGGGTCCCAAAATAGTAGCCAGAGTTTTTGTTGATGGTAATAATAGTAGCATTTTTGTGGCTATCTTATTTCTAACTAGACTTTCTCTAGGATATTTTCAGGGTTATGTTCTCAATGAATGCAGAATATTTCTCAAATTTCTCTGGTAGAGGGTCCCTCTCCTGCAAGCCTGAGTGGAGATTTTCGGCTTCCGCCTTCTGTTACTTGAGACAGAGCCCACTTCATGAACTACAGTGTGGTAAAATGTCCTGCCCTCTACATCTTTTCCTGTCACCCTAGCTCTACCAGTCTACATTCTGGCCAGAAACCCTCCAAAAAAAAAAAATTCAGTCAAGTTGATTCTGACTCATGATGAACTCATGTGTACAAGTAGAACTGTATAGGGTTCTCAATGGCTGATATTTCTGAAGTAGTGCACCAGTCTTCTCTTCCAAGGCACTTCTGGGTGGATTCAAACCAGCAACCTTTCTGTTAGCAGCAGAGTGTTAACCATTTGCATCACCCAGAGACTCCACACCCTGGCCATAACGACTGGTTATGTACCTGTCCTGAGGTGGTGCTACCTCCTGTGTTCTTATCACACTTGCATGTTATGAGCTTCATGGGCCTTTGTCTTCCCTTTGAATGTATAAACCTGATTTTCCGCATTTAGTCACACACAATTTGATTAATCATCTCCTGTTTGAAAGATATCATACCTTGCTTTATGCTGTCTCTAAGCATATGTGTGTGTGTGTGTGTGTGTGTTTTAAAATTGAGGAGAGATATGCACATGACCTGACCAGATCAATTCAGGTTCTGTAACACAGACTAAGGAAGAGATACAAATGGATTTTTCTAAAAGATGATGGTATTTTCTACCAGAGGAGTGAAGAAGGAAAGAAGAGAGGCAACGCTGGGAAAAGGCTGCTTTTCATAGGGCTTGCTGGAGGAGTGCCACGTGCATTCACGGGCAGGTGGAAAGCCTCAGGAAAGCCTGGCACACTGGCTTGAACATGTGTTTTGGTGGGAGCAAATATGGGAGCTTGTAATCTGGCTGACCTGTGAGCTCAAAGGTTCGGTAGCGAGCAAGGACTAAGGACAAATGAGTAATCTGGTAAAAAGAAAGATAGATATAGTCAGGAAAATGAATGCAGGAATGAGAGGAGCTTGGGTAGGAGTGGCCGTGGTCCTTCAAGGCAAAGTGACAATTTAGAAGACAGCCTGCAGGTTGCATGGGTAATCCTCCTCATATACCACATCCCACCTCTCTGGCAAACTATGGGTCTTTCTTAATGGACAAACATAGGGAATGAATGAGGGGACAGATGACAGGGGACAGGGATTCATTCTACATACAGCAGAAAAAATGGGGTGAGGCAGCACTGCTTTTCTGCAGCAAATGTCTGTCAGCATCCAACACCTGGGAAGTGAGCCCTCAGCCTCAGGTGAACCAATGGAAGGAGAGAGGGATGGAGGCTGAGGAGAGGAGAATAATGAAAGTCTCCTGCCCACAGGGCTTCCAACCCTGGAGACACTTTGTTTGTCCTCAGCTTCTCCCAGCTGGAGCCATGGTGTTCCCCCTCACACAGGAAGACAGAGGATAAATGCTTTTCTGGCAGCCCACAGCCTGATGCCTCTCACTGACCCTGGTGCTCACATTTTCTACCTTCTTCCTCATTCAACACATGGGCTTCACTTTTTGAAAAATAACACCTGCTAGTGAGTCTCCCCTGCTGTCCTATGTCAGGGTTTCAGGGATTGGTATTAGAGAGACATAAGAGAGGAGAGGGGAAAAATGCAGGAAGAGGGGATGCAAGGATGTCCCAAAAGCACAGTGAGCCTGGCAGGAGGTGGTCAGAGTTCTAATTCTTGCTCTCCCCTAAAAACCTGTATTCTCCATACTGGGATTTAGTTTTCTCACTTGCAAAATGAAGTCTCCAGAATCCCCACAGAATCTCTTCCATTTTGGTACTCTCAGACTGTACGCACAGAACCAAAGCCAGAGAAAGGATCATGGCCAGTGCTCCCTGGTAGATAAAAGAGGTAGTCTGAAATACTCTATAATTTAGGTCTGGAGAACGCTGCCTCACTCCTTCTGATCAGGGCCTATGCGGCCAGTCCAGGCTCATCCTCACTCATGCCTGGAAATCAGCCTCCCACTAGTGTCAGGATGCCAGAGACCCTCCCTGCATACAGCCTGCTCTCTATAGACTCCTCCTTGTCAGACTGTTGGGTACACTCAACTTTCCCCTTCCCTCCTCCCAACTAAACAGCCATTTTTTTATTTAACATGTATATTAAGAGCATATTATCTGCCAGGGACGGAGAATATAGCAGTGAATCTAGCAGGGAAGATCCTGTTCTCATACTGGTAATATTAATAGACAATTCCCTGTGACCGCCCCAGTACCCAGGATATGCCTTCCCCCTTCCAAAGTCCTCTTCTATCCTAGTCACAAGAGGCATGTTTACAAAGGAGTTTGACTCTTGTGGAAACGTCTTCTTGGTTCAAGAATGAGGTATCTGGTTCAAGTCTTTGTGCTTAAACATGGCTCCGTTTGCATAATTTTCGACACATACAAAACCGTGGACTCTACCAATAGTTCAATTAAAAAAACTAGCAAATATTTAAATCAAAATTAAAAAGTAGTTATAACATATAGGTAAGATAGAGAGCTAAGCACTCAGTGAATACCAATAATCACTGTTTTCAGGGATTTCCTTTTCAGGTCTCACTCACGTCACTTCTGCTGTGGATACTGTCAGACATTGTGATTCTGCTAATTACAATGCTAACAAGTTAATTGTGCTAATTAACTTGTGCTAATAAATGGACTTCCCTGGTTTTTTCTTAGTCTCTTATTTCAGGAGAAACTCCCTAGAACTTCCCTTCCAGGAGGAAAAAACCTAGTCCTGTCACTGTCTCTCTAAGATTGCTTGTTTCCACCAGATTCCTCTCCATGCCCTTCTTATCACTCTGAAGTCAGCGGACCCTGTGTTCAGCACAGGACTCCAGGAACATCAGGACAAGAGGTGAGTACTATATTCATTCAATTACATATTCACTTTTTTATGCAACAAACATATAATGATGCCTGTTATGGGTTAGTCACTGACCTGAGCTCCAAAGTTACTTGTCAGAGATGTCTTCTCTAGTTTGCTGTTGGTAGGTGCCACTGGGTTGATTTCTGACTCAGTGAGTCATGTAACAGAATAGAACTGCCCAGCAGAGTTTTCTAGGCTGCTATCTTTAGGAAGATGATCGCCAAGTCTTTCTCCTGTGGAGCCACTGGGTGGGTTCGAACAAGCTGCCTTGCGGTTAAAAGCCCGGGGCTTAATTATTGCACGACTAGGGCTCTTTTTCTTGCTACCTAATATAAAATGCATCACTTTCACTCTCCTTCCTCTACTCTGCATCGTATTTCTCTATAGCACAATATTACCTTACATTATAGTGTATGTTCATTTGCTTATTTTCTGTCTCTGCTCTGTTTCTATTCACCATTGTGTTTCTAATACTTGGAATCATGCCTAGCATAGAATACAAGTCCATTAAATACATATCGTATCAATCAATAAATAATTATTGAAATTAGGTTAATGTTAAAGTTAAGATAAATATTTATTAATGTACTTCAATAACATTGAAAGTGTTAGAGTGACGTTGACCACTAAGCCAATCTCCATAGCTAAAATTAAAACAAACAAACAAAAAGACATACATGGTTTCAATCCACAAGTGGTTTACATTTCAAAGTAGATACAAAAACAGAAAACACTAGGTGAGAAATGCCACAATAGTGAAAACATAGCATGCAATAGGAGCACATAGAAGGGGTAGCCAACCTAAACTTGAGGAATTCAATAACGCTTTCTGAAGGAGAAAATGTTTAAGCTGAAAGAGATGTGTGAATGGGGGTTAGCTAGACAAAGAATAAGAAAAATGTATTCCAAGAAGAATAGTTTTCATTTCAGGAAGAATGAAAATACAATGTTTGGCCGTGACCATGAACAATGGAGAAACGAAGAACTGCTTAATGCTGTTGACACGATAAAATATGAAGGAGATAATGAAGATAGATTAGAATAAAGGTTATAAGCGGGGATAAGATCATGCAGGCCTTGGATGTTATTTTAAACTATTTTACTTCATGTAAAATTTGGTTTTGTAAATCTCTCTCTTGCTATAGTGTAGTGAACAAATTAGAAAAGTGCAATTAGAGGCTGTTTGAATAACCCAGGAAGAGATACAGTGATCTGAATGAGGGCAGCACCAGTGAAGATGATGGTAAGTAGACAGATATGAGAGGTATTTGGTAGATGGAATACTAAGACTTGGTAAATAATTGACTGGATACTGGGGAGAGATGTTATATGGAGTAGTCAAATATGAAACTTACTATTTGACTTAGACCACAGAAATAATGAACACAGAAGAAGTAGAAGGTTGTTTGGGAAGAGATGACAAGCTAAATTTTTGTCATGCTTCTCAGGTAACTATGAAACGTCTAGGTGCAGATGCTCAGCATGCTATTAGATATATGAGTCTTGGGATCAAAAGAGAAGAAAAGGGAAGTGCTGAAGTTATACATTTGATATTTATCAACATATGGATGGTAAATGAAGTCATTGGAATGGATGACGTTGTCTCAGGAAAGATAATAGGGCATGACTAGAAAATAGCCAAGAATGGAAACAGCTATATTTAAGGGATGAACAAAGAAGAGAATCCAGCAAATGAAACTGAGAATAAATACAAATATAGAGGAAAGAAATTTTCAATAAGGTAATGATGGTGGCAGAATTGATAATAGTGGAGCAGATGATATTAAAGGTGATGATGATTTGATGTTGCTTATGATGTTGTGAATGTTAGTGAAACTGAAGAATAAATAGCAAGAAGTATTCATTTATTTTCAGCTCAGTCCCTGAGGAATCTCAGACCAATATTCCCTCAGTTCGCAGTTCATGTTTCTGTCCAACAACTCTTGGTTTAGCCCTATGTTCTACCTCACTGACTTTCCTGGATTGGAAGTCATTGAACACTGGATTTTCATCCCTTTTTTTCTAATGTACCTGGTGGCCATCTCAGGCAACTGTTTCATCCTGATAACCATTAAGACTAACACTCATCTACACACTCCCATGTACTATTTGCTGTCCTTGCTGGCCCTCTCTGACCTGGGACTGTCAATGTCCACCTTGCCCACAACTATGGGGATCTTTTGGTTCAACTTTCATGGGATCTACTTTGAAGCTTGTCATATCCAGATGTTCTGCATCCACTCATTTTCCTTCATGGAGTCTTCAGTGCTCCTCGTCATGTCCTTGACTGCTTTGTGGCCATCTGCCACCCCCTAAGATACTCAGTCATAGTCACTGGCCAGCAACTAGTCAGAACGGCTCTGGTTATCATCCTCCAGGCCCCTGCGGCTCTTGTCCCCATTGTCCTCCTCCTGAAGATTTTTCCTTACTGTGGTCCTTGAGTCCTCTCCCACTCATATTGTCTACACCAGGGAGTGATACATCTGTCCTGCAGAGACACTACCTTCAACAACATATATGGGTTGACAGTGGTGGTGTTCACTGTAATGCTGGACCTGGTGCTCATTGCGCTGTCCTATGGGCTTATCCTGAACACAGTGGCAGGACTGGCCTCCCCAGAGGAGCAACTTCGAGCTTTCCAAACGTGTACCTCACACCTCTGTGCTGTGCTGGCGTTCTTTGTGCCCATGGTGGGGCTGTCTCTGGTGCATAACTTTGGGAAGCATGTTCCACTTGCTGTCCACCTCCTCATGGCCGATGTCTACCCCTTTGTGCCTCCCATGCTTAACACAATCATATACAGTGTTAAGACCAAGGAGATCCACCGTGCCATCATTAAGTACCTGCATTAGGGCAATGCTGAGTCCTGGGGCTAAAAATTATGTTAGGTGCCCAGAAGAAGGCCCCCAAGAAATCTAAGGATGTACAGCATTGAGTGCCTATTATAACGACCTGTACTCCCCAAGATTTTATTTCCACTGCCCTAAATAAACTATGGCACCCCGGTGGCACAGTAGTTTAAGAGTTTGGCTGCTAACCAAAAGACTGGTAGTTCGAACCCACCGTTCTCTCCTTGGAAACTCCATGGGGCAGTTCTACCTTGTTCTATAGGGTCCCTATAGGGTCGCTATGAATCAGAATTGGGCAATGGGTTTTGTTTGGTTTTTGGTAAATAAAGTATAGATGAGGTTCTTTCTTGAGTTATGGTTTAGGAGTGCTGACCTTCTCTTGTTTAAATCATAATGGTGCCCCCGTCACTGACACTTGGTAGCAGCAAAAGCTGCTTAGAGAAAGACTCTGTTGATGTCACCATCAGAGTAAAAAAACTAAAACTAAGACTAAAACTAAACTATACAAAAACTAAAAAGGAACAATAAATTAAAAGATACAGAACAGAACCTAGCACAGAGTAGATAAATGTCAATTGCTCTAACTCACCTCAGGAAATATACCTCCATCCATGGCTGCCTGGAATTACTACTTGGCCAAGGTCCTTCTCTTACCTTCCTATCCTGGAAAATCCACTATCGTTAGGACTTCTGAGTCACACTGAAAACATCAGAACCCCTCCATTCTGTCTCAATGCTTGGCTCTGGCAGAACTCTCCAACTCTTTCTGAGGTTATACTGGCTCTTGTTCTTCTAAAGAAGCTTGTGGCCTTCCCACTACTACTTCTCTCTAATTTCACCTTGCCTACAGACTCCTGAGTTCCTCAACCTCAGGTATAACTTTAAGCTGAAGTCAGTACTTTAGTTGTGATATCTTACATAATAACATGAAATGTGACAAAGCTTGAACCAAGGAAAGTACCAAAAAGCATGTTTAAATCAAAATCCTGTTGATCAAGAGGTTTGGAACCTAGAGATGATGGATCAGCTTGTTCTTACCCCTGCTTGGATACAATTCGTGTTGGGATCTCAATTTTGAGGATGCTTCCTCAAGAACATTTTTACTGAAAGAACCCCCTTTCCAATACCAGATCAGATGCTCCATCTGTTCCCATCTGCATTTCTCATTGTAACATTTGTCACATGGTAATATAATGTTTTGGAGTTTTTTTGTTTGTTTCTTTGGTTTCTGTCTTCTAAAATAGGTCCTTGGGGAAAATTGTACTTCTTGTTCACCATTACATACCCATAAAGTCAGTGGTTGGCACGTAGGAGATATTCAATAAATAAATATTAGATGAATGCATGGATACGTGAATGAACAAAATGGGGTCCAAAGATAAGAAGGAGAGCTTTTCTTGCCCAGGGTGCTTCCTCTTCTTCACGTCTAGGAAGCCCAAGAGGAGTCCCTTCTGATGGCGTCTGCCAAAGGGTTGCTCCACATCATTTTCCTAGTTCTGCTTCACTCAGGTCCTCCAGGCCCTCCTTTCACCTCCATTTCAGGTTAAACTCACAGTGACCGGGAAGTACTTCCTAAGAGTTGTTCTTTACAGCCCGATAGCCTGGGAAACCTTGTATGTAAACCACCACACCTGCCCAATCCAGAGTTCAACAGAAAACTTGCCAACTTTGTTTAATTCAACTTTCTATTTTCTACCTTGGTCTCTTGGGGATTCAGAGGTTCCTGAGTCATAAATACCTATCTCCTTGCCTCCACACAAGACAGATCTGTCTGCCTCTATGGTCCAGCCTTCCCCAATCTCTTCATTTCTTTAGTCAATACATAATCTCAAAGGATTCCCATAGAAAATTCCCACTGGAGTTTGAAGCATCAGCACAGCTGTAACTTAACAGGCTTCCCAAGAATCAGATTCTGTTCTCTGTTCTCTTAGTTTCTGGTCTTCTTGAATCTAGGAATCCTTTGGCCTCCCTCACCTGTAAAATCATTTTTACTGCTAAGAAGATGAAATAACAAATGAAAAATGAAACAAAACAATAAGGTACCTAAGAATAAATTGCAAAAGACATGAAAAACTTATACAACAATATTATTGACACAAAACATGAAAACATAAGTGAAGAGAAATATCTTCTTAATGAATGGAAAGGTTCAGTTTACAAATATATATACCTATGTATATATATGTCAATTCTTCCAAAATTAATCTATAAATAAATTCAATTCTAAGCAAAATTCCAACTAGTTATCCTATAGGACTTGATAGGTGATATTAAAATTCATATGGTGAGCAAAGCGTCAAGGAAAACCAAGACAACCTGAAAGCAAACCAATGTATGGGGACACTCCCTAACAAATTCAAAAATAGTTTTGTAAAGCTGCAGTAATTTGAACAGTATAGTATTTGTGTTGAGTTAAATAGATAAGCAGAACAGAATAAAAGTTCAGAATTAGATCCAAAGATATAATGTTCCCTGATATAGGTAACATTAAAAACAGTTGGGAAAGGTTGGACTTTTCAATAAATAGTGCTAGCCAAAGTTTGTTATCCATATGGAAAATATAATCTTAACCTACCTTACAGTATACACAAACAATAAATTCAATTACAGTAAAGACATAAATGTTAAAAGCAAAACTCTTAAACTTTAAGAAGAAAATATATGGTTATATATATGTACACACACACACAGAGGGAGAGAGAAGACACCAAAAACAAAGAGAGGAAACAATACAAACCACAAACTGGGGAATGATGTCTGCAATGTACATAAGCAACTGAGAATTACTATCCAGAATATATAAAGAACTTCTACAAATCAATAAGAAAAAAAACAGGCTATTCAATAAAATGGATCCTGGTGGTGCAGTAGTTAAGAGCTCAGCTACTAACCAGAAGGTTGGCAGTTCAAATCTACCAGCCGTTCTTTGGAAATCCTATGGGGCAATTCTACTCTGTCCTAAAGGGTCGTTACGAGTTGGAATCGACTTGATGACAAAGGGTTTGGGTTTTTTTGGTTTATCCAGTAAGAAATTGAGCAAATATATGAACAAGCAATATTCATAAGAGGAAAATTGAAGTGCCAATTAACATCTGAAAACATATCCATCCCCACTAGAAATTAGGAAAACATAAAATACATAACAAAGAGATACTATATTTCATCAATAAAATTATCAAAAATGAAAAAGTCTGAAAATACCAAATGGAGAGGATGTAGAGCAAGGTATCGTAATCTAGTGATCAACGTAGATTAGCCCAATCCATGGAGATCTATTTGGGAGATATCTAGTAGAAGTGAAAGGTGCACCCATTATTTGATGTAGCAATCGACTTTTTTTTTTTAAGAAATATTCACACTTCTTGTACAAGGAGACATGTACAATCATGTTCACTGCTTTACTGTTTAAAAGAGTAAAAATTGAAAACAATCTAGCTGTCAATAGCAGAATAGATCAGTAAATTGTAATACAGTCATATAATATTATAAACATTAAAATTACTAAACTATAGCAGCATGGCACAATATGTATCAATCTCAAATAAATATACAATATTGACCAAAACCAACTTGCAAATGTATATTTATGTATGGTAGCTTTTAGAGAATGTTTTAAACATGGTATCTCTGTTTATGGATATGTAAATATATAAAAAAGCATTAGAAACTAAGTTGAGAATGATAAATGGCAAACTCTAGAAAGTGGCTATGTTCAGGGAGAGAGGGAAGTAACTGGAAGTGAGAAAGTTTTGGGTTTTTTTGTTTGTTTGTTTTGTTTCAACCATTGTGTATCTCATGAAGCCTTGTTACTCTCTCTAGGAGAGTTGGTCTTTTTCACATCAATCTTCTGCAGAAGATAATGATTTTCTCAAAGGTAGAGATTGTGTTTTATTAATCTTCGGATCCAAAGATCTGGCCCAAACTCGTAGGCTCTACATATTTGCTGAATGAATGAAAGTGAGTAACTATCTAGTAGGAAAGAGACTCTCAAAGTGAGGTTTGTCTGGTGAAAGGAGAGAAATATGGAAAGGAGAATTGAGGATCAATCAAAAAACATTCTTATGACAATAGCAGCTGGTGGAAGAAGAGAATGAAGGACCATCTGGCCTGATGAAAGATGTCATAGTGATACGTGTCTCTAAGTTTCCATGGAAGATGACTGGGACACCCAAAGGCTAAATTATGGGAGGATGCTGATCTCTCTATGGTGTTCATCAGATCTACATCTATCTAAGGAAATTCCTCTTAGGGCCTGAGACCCAAGGGAGAAAGAGGCAGGTATTATAACTGCCAGTGCAGCAAACACAGGGCAGTTTCCTGAGTCGGTCCGAAGAGGCTGTGACAGGAGTGGGAAGTGCTGCAGGGGCTGGGAAAGGAGATGCAGACAAAGACTAGTGAGTTATTAAAGACCCTCTCGTTTGTGAACAGAGTGCCACAAACCAGTGACCTCTCTGATATCTGTTATCTAGCAGGGCTGTAAGTAGGGTTGTGGTCTAGGACAGCTTTCTGGAGGATGGACAGTATATGGTTATGGCATTTATTCTATAATAATTCCCCATGGTTTTCTTTTGTTGTACAAAGAGACCTGGATTTGTTACTGGACTGGGTTTTCAGGTGAAGTGATACAGGATGTGGCAGGCAAGGTATCGCAGTTTCAACAACTCCCCAGTTGAGGGACTTCCAGCACTTCTTTTCACAGTCTTAATAAGTCTAATAGCTTCCCTGGAAAGAAGGCAGGGCACGTGTGAAAACCTTCCCTCTTAGAAAGTAGCTAAAGTGCAGAGAGAGTTGGTAATTTCACCAAAGCCGTGTGACTGGCTTGTCCAAAAACCTGCTCAAGAACGCAGAGCTCCCAACCCTGAGTTTTTTACTCTTTTATTGTTTGCCAGATCACTTACTGACTTTCTCTTAGTGTTCACTGCAGACAGAAAGTGAAGAACTGTAGCTGGCACATGGTATATAAATATTATGGATAACTTTTAATAAGAAGGTACTGTTGGAAACTACAAATAATAATCTAACATCTATTGAGTCTGTGGTTCTAACTGCACCACATTTATAAATGCATATAAATGGCGCCATAACCTAAAAGGTACTTACTATAATTCTCTCAATATTTAGACAAAAAAAACTAAGATTAAGAAAATAATTTGAATAATCATAGAATTAATAAATATTGGAGTCTTTAATAAATACTAAATTTGAATCCAGGCAGTTTGATTTCAGATTCATTGTTCTTAATCACCACACTATATAGTCTAAAAATAGACAGTGGCTGAAGAAAATGTGTCTAGAGGCCCAAAGAACTAGGTAGACTTTTCAGTGTCCAGTGGACTTGAGAAGGCTGAATAAAGGGCTATAAGAGCTTCCCTTGCCTCCTTCTCTAAGGTATCATCTTCTCAAGCTCCTCAGTGCCTCTTCCTCTTTCTGTTTCTCAACCTTCCCCATTTCAGTCATGCTGCATCTGATCACTACACTTCCCATTCCTCACCCTCTCTGTCATTCAGCCCTCCCTCTCCTGCTGCCACACAGGAGACTTTCTCTTCTCTTCACACTCTTTCTCACTTTCTTTCATTGGATCTCCCACTTCATCTCTATCTCTCTCTTTCTCTGCCTATCTCCATCCTCAGCACATTCCCATCCACCCTTGGTCCTTAAGCTTCTCCTCAAATTATTCCTTGGCTTTTCACTCTTCTTCAGTCTCTTCTCTCTCTGCCCAATTTTCTCTCCATGTCTTTCTGCCATCAATCTTTCTCCTCTCAGTCTTTTAATCCTCTTTCTGGCACTTAGCCTCTTCTTTTGCCCCGTTGTCCTTTCCCCTTTAATCCATATCTCCCCCTTCCTCTGCTCATCAGTTTCTTCTTCTAAGTTACACAACCCTATTTCTCTCTGGCACTCAGTTTGCATTTTTCTGTCCTTTAACATATTTGTCTCCAGTTTTCATCTCCCCAATTTTTCTTTTTTTCCTTTTTCACTGTCCTCTAGTCTTCCTTTCTCCTTGATCCATGCCTCCCTCAATTCGCCTCTTAACATATTCTTAGTAATTTCACTATTTTAGTCTTTCATGTTTTCCCTCTGATGCTCATTATACCTTCCTTCAATATTAAGCTTTATCCTTCAGTCTGTCCTTCAGCCTTACTTTCTGTCCCTCATTATACTCTGTGACATATTCCTCAGTATTCCCTTCATCACTGTCTCTCAATTACTCCCTCAGTCTCTCAGTAGATCCCCAAACTTTCAAAGGCACGTGGCACTGTCTGCCAAGATCTGAAGCAGTATCATATTAAACAAGAAATAAATTTTATTTCAGGAGATAGATTTTATAATAAGAACAGGAAAGAGTAGGAACAATAGAGGAAAATTACAAGAAAATCAGTGTTTAGTTCAGGAACCAAAAGAAGAGGTCCAAGCTGCACTGAAGGCTCTGGCAAAAAACAAGGCTCTGAGAAATGACGGAATACCAACTGAGATGTTTCAACAAATGGATACAGCACTGCAAGTGCTCACTTGTCTATCCCAAGAAACTTGGAAGACAGCTACCTGGCCAACCGACTGGAAGAGATCTATATTTATACCTATTTCAAAGAAAAGTGAGGCAACGGAATGTGTAAATTATCAAACAATATCACACACAAGTAAACCTCTACTGAAGATCATTCAAAAGTGGCTACAGCAGTACACTGACAAGGAACTGCCAGAAATTCAAGCCAGATTCAGAAGAGGACGTGGAATGAGGGATATCATTGCTGATGTCAGATGGATCATGGCTGAAAGCAGAGAATACCAGAAAGATGTTTACCTGTGTTTTATTGACTATGTAAAAGCATTCTACTGTGTGTATCATAACAAATTATACATAACATTTCAAAGAATGGGAATTCCAGAACACTTAATTGTGCTTATGAGGAACCTGTACATAAATCAAGAGGCAGTTGTTCTAACAGAACAAGGAAATACTGTATGGTTTAAAGTCAAGAAAGGTGTGCATTAGGGTTGTATCCTTTCACCATACTTATTCAGTCTGTATGCTGAGTAAATAATCTGAGAAGCTGGAATATATAAAGTAGAATGGGGCATCAGGATTGGAGGAAGACTCATTAATAACCTGTGTTATGCAGATGACACGACCCTGCTTGCTGAAAGTGAAGAGGACTTGAAGCACTTACTGATGAAGATCAAAGACCACAGCCTTCAGTATGGATTACCCCTCAACATAAAGGAAACAAAAATCCTCACAAATGGACCAATAAGCAACATCACGAGAAACAGAGAAAACACTGAAGAGTCAAGGATTTCATTTTACTTGGATCCACAATCAACACCCATGGAAGCAGCAGTCAAGAAATCAAACGATGCAAAAGTGTTCAAAAGCGAAGATGTTACCTGGAAGACTAAGGTGTGCCTCACACAAGCCATAGTGTTTTCCATTGCCTCATATGCATGTAAAAGCCGGACAATGAATAAGGAAGACCGAAGAATTGCCGCCTTTGAAATATGGTGTTGGCGAAAAATATTGAATATACCATGGACTACCAAAAGAATGAACAAATCTGTCTTGGAAGAAGTACAGCCAGCATGCTGCTTAGAAGCAAGGATGGCGAGACTACATCTCACATACTTTGGACATGTTATCAAGAGGGACCAGTCCCTGGAGAAGGACATCATGCTTGGTAAAGTAGAGGGTCAGTGAAAAAGAGGAAAACCCTCAACAAGATGGATTGACACAGTGGCTGCAACAATGGGCTCAAGCATAATTACGATTGTGAGCATAGTGCAGGAATGGGCAGTGTTTCATTCTTCTGTACATAGGGTCGCTATGAGTTAGAACTAACTCGATGGCACCTAAGAACAACAACAGTTCAGGTGCAATAACAACTATACATATTGTTTAATATTCGCCAGGCTTTATGTTAAATTCTGTAGACATAACATGCCAATTAAAACTCATATCCATTCTTTGGATTAGGAGATATCATTATCCCTGTTTCACTGGTGAAGATACAGAAGCAAATATTGTGTCAGACACTAAGATCCAGGGCAGCAGGGCTTATAAATATCTTATAAATATCTCCCCTGGTGACCCTGTCTTCTGTACTTATTAAACTAATTTGAGCAATGGGAAGGTTTTCTTATTGTTGCTGCTATTTGGAGGTACACTTATTCATATGTCTGTTTTGCAGTACCTATATAGGAAACATTGCTCTAATATGTTTACCTGATTTATAAGTTGTGTCAGATCTTCAGATGGATTTCTGAGAAGGCATACCTTTGAAAAGACCAAGTAAGAAACCCATACACATGGGAGCAAGTGTGTCTGTACATTCTGAAATTAGATAAGGAAAGAAAAAAATCTCAAGAATTAGAATAAAGTTAACAGCTCTGAAGATGTAGATTACAATGCTGAATTAATAGACTTAATGAGAGGAAGAAAGAGTTTTCCAAAAGTCCCCGAGAAGATGCCTGAGGGGTGAGTTACTGGATAATGAAAGTCATGGAGTTATTTGAGAAAGCTGAGTTTGGAGAGAAGCAGGACACCTCTTCTTCTAACCATGAAGACATGTGGAAAGGATCAGATAGCTACATGAAGGAGTTTAAATGAAGAGTAGATTGGATGAGGTATCTGCCTACAGGTATCCTCAGTTTGCTTAGAAAAATTAGAGATAAGGTCTTCTACAAGAATTGAAAAGTTTGGAAAGCCAAGATCATACAAAGAAGACTATTTGGGAGTAAGGGAATTTCTGAGAATCTGAGCACCCTGTTAATGCTGGGCTGTATAGATTTTTCTGAGGTAAGTCCAAAACAACCCTATCTCTTACTAGCTGGTCAAGAGAAGGAGTAGGGAAATCCCCTGATAAAATTAATCTAGGGTAAGTGAAGTTTGGATAGGAATAAGAGAAAGAAAAGAGAAAGCTTAGCTTGCTTTTGACTATAGTGGCTCATTGAGAGGTCATCAAATCTAGAGAGCACAGAGACAGCAGACCACCCAGCAGAGGATAGATGTCCAATGATAGTGGGACGGTTTATGCTTACTAGCCTATTAACTTTCAAACACTGCCACCTTTCCCAGAGTGACTAGGCCTCTTGAGAATGACAATGTCCACCCTACCAAATGCTAGCTTGAGCTTCTCTACATTCCTGCTGATGGGCTTCCCAGGCCTGGAGTGGGCTCACCACTGGAACTCACTGCCGATTTTTGTAGGATACTTCTTGGCCCTCCTAGGTAATGACACTATCTTGCATCTGATACGAACTAACCCTTCCCTCCACCAGCCAATGTACTATTTACTGGCCATCCTGTCTGTGACAGACTTGGGCCTGTTCATGTCCACGCTGCCCTCCGTGTTAGGTGTGCTGTGGTTTGATGCCCAGACAGTAGGCCTGGTACCCTGTGTTCTGCAGCAGCACTTCCTCCACTCCTTCTCTTTCATGGAGTCAGCTGTGCTCTTTGCTATGGCTTTGGACCACCTTGTGGCCATCCGTTTCCCACTGTATTACGCATCTGTGCTCACAGGCCCTCGTGTGGCATTAGTTGGGGTTGTGCTGGGCATGTGGAGTGCCACCATTACTACTGCACCCTCGTTGCACCTATTAAAATTTGATTACTGTCACCCAGGGGCATTCTCCCATGCCTACTGCCTTCACCAGGATATGATCCGCCTAGCCTGGTCTGACACCTGCTTCAGCAGGCTCTATGGGCTGTGCATCATCATGCTGGCCATGGGGTCTGATCTTCTCTTCATCCTGCTCTCCTATACTATCATCCTCCGCACAGTTCTGACCATTGCCTCCGTAGGGGAGAGGTTCAAAGCCCGCAGTACGTGCATCTCCCACATCCTGGCAGTGCTCTGCTTCTATGTGCCAGTGCTAGGCCTACCCATCGCCCACAGATTTGGGCGCAACACCTCGCCCCGGTACACATCTTCATGGGCACCGTCTCTGTGCTCTTCCCACCCCTAATGAACCCTGTCGTTTACAGCATCAAGACCCGGCAGATCCGCCGAGCCATCCTCAAGCTGGTTTCACTGGGGAAGATACAATGAGACGTTTGGGATGGACTACTGCAATTAAAAGTGAGGAATGAGTTAAAGCTTCGTGTTAGAGCCGTCTTACCACGAAACAATTTCCGCTCACTTAATTTGGTCAATTGATTGTACATCATGAACTGAGTCTGATGTTAAAATCAAATAAAGTTGATGCTTATTACATTTATGTATATAATTATAAACATATATCACTATTTTCTTACATGAAACATAATGATTCATTGTTGTCTTTTACACAAATGTTCACAAGCTCAAAGCAATTTTTAAATATTTTCTTCCTCTACTGATTTGTTAGGATTCTAATTCTATAATCTATGTCATTAACAATGATATGGAAAGGTGAATTATCACTTCATATTATTGGATTAATTAATGAGTTTATCACCATTCTTCACAATATAATAGTTCTTTCATTTCATCCAGGATGACTTCATGCTAGATCCAAGGGAAGCTTTCCAAATTAGCTTTTTCATTCCATTTATTCATATCATAGCCTGAGACAGGAATGAGCCCTAAGATCCTGCCATGTTTTTCTTCATGTTTCTTTAACTCTGCAATTGTAAAAATACATTTAAGTTTTGTCATCCACTTTTACTCTCTCCTATCTTCACTGCTCTTATTTACCTTTAAAAAATAATAGTTGCAAATATAAAATATCTAAGAAACATAGCTGTGAAATGAAGAAAAAAGTACAGCATGATAGAAAGTGGACAATGTGATGGTAAAGATATTTTTAACAGGACAAATCTAAGAGTGTTTACATGCTAATGAAAGTAATCATAGAGGAGAGGAGAAAGATGGAGGAAAGAAAAGGGGGGATTTGGTGAGTCAAGATCCACAGAAGAAGAAACATAAAATAGATGGTAAAAAGTTTTGAATAGGAGAAAAGACATCATTTCTTCCAGAAGAGGTAAAGACAGATTCAGATATAAATGTGTGAGTGGCAGAGAAGGAAGCTGAAGAAGGTCTCGTTTGGTGGCCTTCATTTTTTCAGTGAATTAGACGGTGAAGTATTTTGATTGCAGTTTATAGGGAGGTGATGGATTAGGTATTTGAGACTCCAAAATGTCCCTAGTTGGACCATCTTTTCAGGTTCATTTATACCAAAAAAAAAAAAAAAAAGAATTTTTAATTCCTTGAAGGCAGAAAAAAAAAGGAAAGAAAAGAAAATCCTTTCATCTTTCACACTGCATAAATTATTTCCTCTTCCTAGACCATATGTCATTGTCTGATTACTTTCTATCCATATGTTTCAGTCATGGTCCAGTCAGTATTGCAATGCTGAGTGTTGCAAACAAAGGAAGTTTAATAGAACAAATGATTTACAATATTTTTGGAAAAGGTCAAAAAGGAGAGGTGACAAGGGGGATACTGGATAAGTAAAAAGAAAACAGGAAAATAATGAGTAATTTCATACCCAGAAATTAAAAAGCTGCTCTCACCCTGGGATAACTCCATCCAGCCTGACAAGCTGCTGCACATCCAGACAAGCTGCCATCATGAGGAACCCATCACAAGGAACCTAAAGCTGACGCTTCCCTGGGTGCTGAGGTTCTTAGGTGTCCTGGTTCCTGTATTGCAGCCACCAGCAACTTACACAGCCACTAACATTTCTGACTGCACAAAACAGGACTTTTTTCTTCTTCCATTTTTGTATTTCCCACTAATCCTTCCTATTGATAAAAAACTACCAGAAAGATGGCTGTCAGGGAAGTATGAGAAATGTAGTTTGTAGTCTCTCAGTCTCAGCAGTTCCAAGCAGATTATAGAAGGGCTGAATGGAACTGGGAGCCAACAAATGACAAATGAGTACTTCATGTTTTAGATTTTAAAAATTAACTTAAACATCTCTTCCTCAGGAAAGACTTTTGTTGATTCCTAGATGAGCTTAGGTTTCCCTGCTACATTTCCTTGTGTGTCCCATTATTATCCCACCATGATCCTTAGCAAAACTGATCACAATTGCTTGCTTTGTGCCTGTTATGTGCATTAGACCATTAGCTTCATGAAGGCGGGAAACATCTATTGTATTTTCTCCCATTAACCCTGTGCTTAGCACAATGTGCTAGCCCATAAAGTGGATTTGAAACTGAATTTGGTTGGTGGGTCAACAGATCTACAGAAAATAATCCAAGACATGAACAGTGACCTTCAAAACAATGTCACCCATCAGAATTTTTTTTCTCTTGTAGAGAAAAATAAGCCCAACTGTGAAAAAGAGTCCTTAGAAATGATGATTCAATGTTACATGCTCCTAAAGTGAGGTGTTATCTCATGAGAAAATGAGGGCAGTGGCATAGAACTCCTTTTAATATACCAGAACAAAGCAATAATAAATTATTAAAAATAGTTTCCTCTTCTGAGTAGACTAGGATTTAATCCATTCTTTCATTTCTTCATTCAACAAATATTCATTGAGTGACTATTATTCTAAAGAACTTGTTGATGGGTTAGATAAAATTTTTAGAAGAGAGGGAAAGGAGAAATCAAAGATGATACACATAATTCAAGCTTCAGTAAGCAGATGGTGACATAATTTATTGAGAGGAGAAAAAATTGACATTGCAGAAAAATCAACCTAGAGGAAAAAATTAAGAATATTATTATCAGTGTATTAGAAATGTCTCTAAGACTTCAAAGGATGAGATCAACTTTTTACTTGGATAGTTGTGTTTGAAATATAGAAATGGAATTATGTGAGTCATGGCATATAGTTGGTAGTTAAATCCATGAAAATGAAAACTGCATTTAGGGAATGAAAATAAAGACAGAGGAGAGATGGGCCTGAACTGATCCCTAATGAACCCTAGTGTTTATGGTTCAATTAGAGGAAGGGGATTTAGGAAGGAGGCTAAAGGGAATGATTAATGAGAAAAAAATAAAGGGCATAAAATGTAGAGTCATCAAAGCCATAAGAGGACAGTATTTAAAAAAAAAAGAAGAAGAAAATAATCAATTCATTAATGCTACTGAGAGCTGGAAATACCATTATGAAAACCAGAAAAAGCCCATTAGATTTAGTCAAGATTTGGCAAGAGGAGGCAGATCCAAGATGGTGGAGTAGTGAGGTGCTTCCTGTGGTCCCTCTTACAACAAAGAAGCAAAAAACAAGTGAATCGATTATATATGACAATCTAGGGGCCCTGAACATCAAAGTCAAAGCTGAGAAATTGGACTGAGTGGCAGGGGGAGGGAGAGACAGATCAGAAGCAGCGAGGAGTTGCCAGAACTGACACAATTGGCACAGGCACTCTGCAGGCTGGATCAGCTGGTGCGTGCAGGGTGAGGCAAGCAATAGTGTTCAGGACACATTTTCCACATTTGGAGAGACCCAGTGGTGAAGAGTCTGCTCAAGTCTCCAGAACCAGAGAAGAAGCACTCAGTCGGTGAAAGATAAGTAGAAGCTTCTAACCTACCTCATGGATCAAAAAAATCCCCCCTTTGAGATGTACCTCTCTCCCATTTACCTGCCCCCTCCACCCTCTGCTTCTAGTCCTGGTCTGGCTTCAGTGATTGCTGCCCCACCTGGGCCAGAAATAGTACCCGCCTCACACCCTGAGCCATTCTCCCAGCTTTGGAGAAGGAACAAATTAACAAACAGGGAAAAAATAATCTGCCAGCTCCCTAAGCCAGGAACCCAGGGCAGGAACAGCCCCTTTGCCTAGGCAGAGGACCCTGCTTAATGGGCAGGGAGGTGTCAAATGCCACTAATCTGCCACTCCCACTTATAGCTGATGTAGTCGAAAATAAGCTTCAGGTGTATAGCCTGTTGTACTGTGGTAATGAAGGCCTTCTCTGTTGAAATGAGCTCACATACATAAGCGTCCTTACCTTCCCACATCAGGGGCCTGAGAACTGGTGGCTCCACCTACTTCACTTAGCCCCCCATGACAGGGGTCCAAAAATAAGTAGTGCCTCCTTGTCCTTACAGCCAACAGCACTGGGTACCCATAGCCTGGCTGCAAAACCCAGCCACCTACCCACTGTAGGGAACAGGGACTCGCCTTCCACCCAGACACTCAGGGGCAGCTGTCAACTCCCTGTCTTGCTCAGCACATGACCCCCTACTGCAGCCAGATACCTGAGCCTACTCCAATCACTCCTGCACATCTAGAACTGTAGGTGAGAGCATGCACCACACACTCCATGACCAACAACCTGGACATCTGACCTGAATCCATACAGAAAAAGTAAACAGACTTCTGGGCTCACATGCCCAGTAACAGCTCTAAACACCTGGTGACAATTTGTGAGAGCTTCAAAGATGCCAATAATCAAACTAGCTCACATGATCAGCCTATTTGGGCATATCAAAATAAAACGAGAAGCTAGGACACAGTAAGCAAACATTAAATAAACATAATAACTTATTGATCACTCAGAGACAATAGTCAATACCAAATCATATGAAGAAGCAGACCATGAAGGCTTGAGCAAGCCAGCAACATAGAGAACCAAGAAACCTTCAAAAGGAAGAGAACTTCTTGGAAGTACCGGAAGTAGAATTCAAAAGATTAATATACAGACCTCTTCAAGACATCATGAAAGAGATCAGTCAAAATGCAGAACAAGCCAAGGAACACACAGACAAAGCAACAGAGGAAACTAAAAAGGTTGTACAACAGCATAATGACAAGGCTGCAAGAATCCATAGAGAGAGAGTAAACAGAAATCCAAAAGATTAACAACAGAATTTCAGAATTAGAGAACTCGATAGAAAGTCATAGGAGCAGAATTCAGACAATGGAAGTCAGAATTACTGAGATTAAAGATAAAGGACTTCACACCAACTTATTTGAGGAAAAACAAGATAAAAGAATTTTAAAAAATGAAGAAACACGAAGAATTATGTGGGATTCTATCAAAAGGAATAACTCAAGAGTGATTGGAATACCAGAATGGGGGGGGGGGTCGGTAACAGAAAATGCAGAGAATTGTTGAAGATTTGTTTGCAGAAAACTTCCCTGATACTGTGAAAGATAAGAAGATATCTATTC